TCGGGCATTCCTCAAGTTTGTCCAGCCGTTGAATTTTTCGCTTAGGATGATTACACTGAAAAAAGACCGCGAAGGTTGGCACAGCCGTGGAAGGAAGCCATAACCGCCATATGGGATTTTCGAGCAAAGTGTTGTAACTTAGTGTTTGTTGTAACTGTCTCATCAACAGCTAACGAGCTGAAATTTTCAACGATAATAAACCACAAATTAATTCTAGCTTTACACAAATAACTTTAACTTTACAACTCTTACCGCTAAACTTTGCAGATATCTGCAAGTGACACATATAGTTAGCTAGCTTGTGAGATAAATTAACTCTCAATTAATTCCAAATTTTAATGAAAGCGAAGCGGATACCACACTTAATCCGAAATTCCACTATGTTGGCTATCATTTAGAAACCGGAAACTGCAAAGGACCGCATACAAACTACTATCGTGTTGCGATCCTGCCTCATCATTTCTTGTCATGTTGGTGTCTCGAAACGTCTTTCACGTAGTATCAGCCTTGCAGTCTTTTCTTTGGCCTCATGTTCCCGTAAAACGGTTTCTTATTTATATCTTCCTCTTCCTTACAGTTAGTAAGGCCAAACGTGGCACGCTGCTAGCACGAGTCTTGACGTTGCCATGGCAACCAGGAACCAATAAAACGTGTTTTTTCGGAATTTTGCTGACTCAGCGAAAAAAAGACCAATTTTAAGAGTATCAGTCAACAGGACGTGCAATTTTGCGCTATTCTGCCAAGTTTTGTGATTCTGCGATGTTTCTTGTGTTAGATACGCTGGTTTAAAGTTGATAAAATCTGCATGATGTTTCTTTTACAATGCAAGTATTCGGACTTTCCAGTGTAGCGAGGATTTCAAAATCATCCCATTTGATGTTGTAACGGGAAGAGATGACATGGTCTGCAACAGCGGCAAATGGGACCAATTTGAAATCCTCGCTACTGGAAAGTCCGACTTGCATTGTAAAATTAAAGAAACGCTGTCGATCAGTGACTTATAACCCTCACTTATTATGCATATAAGACGTGTTTTTTAACATTTCTTATTTCTATCTTCCTCATCCTTAAAGCTATTAAATTTAAACTTGGCACGCTGTTAGCGCAAGTCTGATTCTATACGTCATCAAAAATTGATGTTGCCATGGCAACCTGAAACCAATAAAACGTGTTTTTTCGGAATTTTGCTGACTCAGCGAAAAAAACGATCAATTTTAAGAACATCAGTCAACAGAATGTGCAATTTTACGCTATTCTGCCAAGTTTTGTGATTCTGCGATGATTCTTGTGGTAGTTACGCCCTTTGAAAGTGAAAAAAACCTGCATGAGACGTGTTTTTTATCAGTTTCTTACTTCTGACCAGTTCCTCGTCAGTAAAGCTATTAAGTTTAAACTGGACATGATGATAGCACGAGTCATCCAAAATCGTCTTCCAAGTCTCTGCCAATTGATCTATAAGGCATTCGTGTTTCTCTTCCGGTGATGCTCTGCAAAGTAAACTTTCAAGGTGTCCCGTGTTCCTTTTTCCCCAAACTCTATGCTTAAATCCCACTGTCACGATTGTGGGAAATTGTCCAAATTTTAGACCATTTGCCGTGAAATAATTGCAACACGGACGTATTTTGTCCAATATCGGAAATTATCTTTTTAATTGTAACACTTTTATCCCATAGGTTTTTACTCATGTTGATATTATTTTAATTATATTCTATATCATAATTTACTTTTAATTTTATATTAGTCGAGCGTTTTTAACACGAACCCCTGGCTCGGGACACTTGGCGACCACTCCCCGCGTCTTCTACGTTGAATAAACTTACTTAGTTACCTAATTACTTAGATGAGACCTCATTCGCAGAACTCCTTGCTTAAATACCACGTTCACTATTGTGCGAAATTGTTTAAAGTTTGTAACCTTTTGTCAGACCTGTATGCTGAAACCCCACTAACGTGTCCCGCGATTGTGAGAAATCGTCGAAAGGTTGGACCATGTACAGTGAAATGATCTCACTCTGATTCGTTTCATCCATGGTTATAGCTCATTCGCACTTATCATTCTGCAACGCTACGGGTTATACATTGTCCATGAAGATATTGGTAGGGTGTTACTTTAAAAACCTTTACATGTTGAAGGTTTGAAAGGCGATTCCGTGTAGAGCGTAAAGATTGCTCTCTGAATAAAACTGATCGCACTTTGCGGCCACGATTTAAACTACTAAAGGTAACTGAGTAAAACGTGGTTTTGTCCAAGTTTTCTCCTAGCTCCAGCTACTTGATCTTACCGCTCGGTGATCATCGAAAACCTTTATTGTGTGGTATCTGACTTTATTTTCTATTTTCAGGTTTCAATGAAAGTCATTAGCTTATAAAGGTGCAAAATTTACCTTGCAGGAATTGAAAGTCTTCAAACGTTCATGTTAGAGCTTACCTGAAAATTCCGCCCCAATTAGTAGAGGGGTACACCGTTCATTGTTTTAAGAGAATTTTTTCCTCTGTAAAACTAATACCGTAAATCCTCGAATTAGTGCCCGGAACGCTTATTTCAAATTTAGGAGAAGATGGGGGCGCTTATTTAATTCTTCCCAAATGGGGGCATGACATGATCATTTCTTTAATACATCATCTGCGCTTAAACAAGCTGTTTATCGACATAAAAAGCTGATCGTAAAGTTAAAATTGCGGCACCACTAGTACTTAACGGGTCTACAAACTGAAACAATGTACAAATCTAATACTACACGACGAAACCAATACATCCTTTGTTGTCTCTGTACTCGTCCACAAAATTGGGGGAGGGGAGTCTAGCTACAGCAGTTAAGTTGTGCGCGCGCGATGTACGACACTTGAAGCGGCGCGCGCTTTTGCAACAAATTTGCACACGCAACATTGCGCAAGTTTTCAACGGGTTTCCAATTTAAGCTGTTTTACGCTCAGTTACTATACTTTGTAGCCTTAAGAGTACTATCTTTTAGTCATTGGAAGTTTATTTGAACGTGTATTCAGTTATTTAAGGCTTTTTCATTTGTTTCGCGCGTACGCTACCCTTGTTTCTAGGTCTTTCTAGTAAGTTCTGTGGTGTCGCGAAAGCACACGCGTAGCGCCGCCACACCCAACTAGCGTTATAAAAGAGCGGTTTTTTCGTTAGCAAGATCTGTTAATTCACCGCAAGTTAAAAAGTTTCTCCAAGTTTATCATTGTTCGCGCGTTCAAGGCAGCACCAAGGTAATTACTTTTTACGCTAGTTTAGTTTATGTAAGCGGTTTGTATCTTTAGTCGTTTAAGATCAGTTTCATTGCTTGTGAATTGTAAATTTAAGTCTTAAGGTTTTAGATAAAGTCAAGTTGTTTACGACATCGTTTTACCGTTACTGTAAATTGATCTTAAGTTTTGTCCTTTCATTTTTGTAACTTTCGAAGCGTGTGAAATATATTTATATCCTGTTATTTTCGCAAGCTAATTTGTAATTTATTTGTATCTTTTATTTTAGCTATTACGGTGTCTGTAGAGTCTTTAAAGAATTTTAATAAACAGCAGTTTGTGAACCGACGTTTAACCAAATCACAGAGGGGGTGCTTATTCATGGGGGAGGGGGGGGGCTTATTTTCCATTTTGGTCGATAGGAAGGGTGCTTATTCGAAGGAGGCGTTTATTCAACGGGGGGGGGTGCTAAATCGGGAACTTACGGTACTCGTTAATATCTAGTTAGACAACTGTCTAGAGAAAGGTTCTGTGTTAGTGACCTGTCTTTCCTCAGAACACACCACAATTCCACAACGATATACAAGAACAGTGCAACCATGACGAAAAAACAAACAATGAGGTTAATTTTATTCTCAAATTAAATGATCCACTTTTTATATCACTCTCAGTACGTAATAATTCCGTTTCATTTTTAAGGAACGGAATAAACAGGTGTTGTTGACAAATTTTTTTTCCCAACCCAAACACCCTTCGACTAGTCAACAAACTGTTAGAGCGAAGTCATGCGAATTTGATTAACAAAAATGCATGTTTCATACGAAAACTTGAACAGTACACTTCGACGTTCAGTTTTGGTATCATTCTACGTTGTGGCCAGATATGTCCAGGATTGACCACTAATCAGATGCAAGCTATTTATGGTAAGCTGTACAGTAACCTCGTTGATACAAGTCTACTGAAATACCTATAAAGCTGTCAAATATGAAGTGATATGAAAATGGCAAACAACCTAGCCAAAGATGAAGTAGTAATGTGTTCAATCCTAGACATAAGTGGTTGTGGCACTAGTGTGCCACACTATTAGAAACACTAGTCGGGTGACAAGGTAGACGCTATAATGTAAAGGGAAAAACTTAACAACGACCAACAGTCCATGCTACATTAAAACAAGATGGCTGCTGGGCCATTCGTAAAATCCACCGACACACACTGGTTCATCTTCATCAAATTTTCCGGGATACAAAGGACGTAATCCCGGCCTGAGTAGTTGTTTGACCTCGACCACGACATTTCCAGTTGTGATATCGCGACCATGGACTTGTTGCCGTGAGCAAAGAGTGCACACTGCATGTACGATTCCATCATTGCTAGGGACCGTCATTCCAAACCGAGTATCTGCAAAAATACGATTCAAAAAGCATTATTTAAATACTTCGGTAGCTCAGACAATATTAAGATTGCATGTTACACAAAAGATGTATCAAAATAAAACATCGTTATATAAACTGTTTAGGTATATATTGATAAGTAAAACTTTTAGCTTAAATAGGTCCTGAGTAACGTCGGGAATATTCATTACAGTCCCAGTAAAATTAACACCCTAGAAATAAATACACGGTGGTGCCACCTAAAGAACGCTTTTGATCTCTACTGACCGGCTGGGCCACTCTATTCATGAATATAGTGATTAGGCCTTTGAACCCATACCTCTTATAAAAACTTCATTGAAAATAGTAAGTACAATTTCAGATTAGTAACGACCACCCTTAGAACCTTAAATCGATAAACATCGCTATATCTCGGATTAGTTGCACCATCTCACTCACCTTTAGAAATAATGGTTCCAAATGTTGAAGATGAGATACTTAACAAAGAACGACCAGCGGAGCAGGCAGCAGGTAGTGTGGATGAGCTGGGAAGTGATGGTGCAGCCAAAAGAGAGGACGAGGTGGACAAACTTGTGGTAACTGTAGCAACCAGAGAAGTAGGCGACGTAACGATAGCGGCCGGAGGGAAAGTATGGGTACTAGATGGGGTAATGAAGGTGGAAGATGGTGTAATGATGGTGCTAGGTGTGGCAATGGGTTTGCTGGGTGAGGTTATGCTGGTAGTAGGAGGGGAACTGAGGGTAGTCGATGGGGTATGGGTGGTAGGCCAGGTATTTATGGTATTAAATGGGGTAATGATGGTGTTAGGTGAGGAAGTGGGGTTGCCAGGTGTGGTTATGCCGGAGGCAGGCGGGATTGTGCGGGTACTAGATGCAGTAATGATGGTGTTGGCAGGAGTGGTAATGGTACTAGATGGGGTAGTGATGGTGGGCGTTGGGGTAAAAGGCGAGGTGGTGGGGTTTATCGGAGAAGTGGGTCTGCTTGAGGATGAATTGTCAATGGATGTCGATGACGAGGACTGATTGTGCATGGCATCTGAAATGGCAAACTTCCACGTATCTCTTGAAAGCCACAACTTCCGTCGTTGGGCACCGCCATACAAATGTGGTTTTCTTGGATCAGAATTATCGCCTGAGAGCTTAAACTTGAATGGGAACATCTTTTTCGAACTTTTTCCAACTGATTTAGACGAAAGACTGGCCTCGGCGGGCTACAAAAAAGACCAAGAGAAAAAACAGAACAAGACGGCAGAACAAGCTGATAATATTTCATCGCGTGGCTTTCGGCACGAAAACGAAAATACAGCTTACTTCTGGATAAATTCAGCCTTAGAAGCCAG